TATCAATCATCCATAATACTACTCCCCTGGTCCAATTTTTCCTATATTGTTCCCGAAAAAACCAATGCTCCATAGATTTCCCAGATTTTTCCATCACGACTCCTATTTCCATAGATTTTTTGATTTTTGCGTAAAAAGCCCATTGTCCATAACATAGATGTCCTATCCTGTTGTCGACGCATTAAAAAAAACTGGTTACTTAGATTTTCTCCATGCGTTCCGCAGAACACCATAGATGTCCTAGATTTCCCTCCAAAAAAAATCTGCAAGCCATGAAAACCAGCTGAAAGCCAAGACTCCTTCAGCTCCAACAGTTCCGAACGTCGCAAGGCGGATATCCCATCCAAGGTGGACATGAAGGTTGCCACGATTTTGATGATCCACCCCTGGAAATCGAATATTTTTGCCATAGAATTCATGAGGATCAGGAAAATCACAATACGAATTTGTGGAGAAAAACATGGTGCCGGCGCCTGTAAGGTGCCGTGCATTCATGGCCATTTTGGATTAATGGCGACTTAGAAAGGCGAGTGAACGTTGTATCTTGCACGGTGACGTAGCATCAACTAACTGATATACAACGCAAGTGCAAGAACGTTATTGCCCCAACCCACCCCAAGCCAATCAACCCCACCCCAAGTGCATGACATAGGCACAGGAAAAGTACATTAAGTACACAAGTGCAAAGACCTTATTGCCCCAACCCACCCCACCCCAGGACGTGGTAGACAAGTATATAAGCAATGGAGAATAAAGGACACGAATGCACGGCACCTGATAGGCGCCGGCACCAAAAAACAGACCACCTGATTTCTATGATGAAGTGTTGGGAGTTATTGATGTTATTGCTGGTTCACCAAAGAAAATAAGGGAATAAATTAGGAATAAGCAAGAATTGTTACTATATTATAACTACTGGAGATATTCGGCCTGTTGAATTTTTCCCGAGAGCGCCTGCGAAGGGTTCTTCGTAAAAAAGCAGCCGTTGTAATACATCTTCACACCCTCACACCTGCTGATCTACATCTTCACACCCTCACATCTGCTGATGTACATCTTCACACCCTCACATCTGCTAATCTACATCTTCACACCCTCACATCTGCTGATCTACATCTTCACACCCTCACACCTGCAGATCTAGATCTTCACACCCTCACACCTGCAGATCTAGGTCTTCACACCCTCACATCTGCAGATCTACATCTTCACACCCTCACATCTGCTGATCTACATCTTCACACCCTCACATCTGCTGATCTAGATCTTCACACCCTCACATCTGCTGATCTAACATCTTCACACCCTCACACCTGCAGATCTACATCTTCACACCTTCACATCTGCAGATATACATCTTCACACCTTCACACCTGCAGATCTACATCTTCACACCTTCACATCTGCAGATCTACATCTTCACACCCTCACACCTGCAGATCTACATCTTCACACCTTCACATCTGCAGATCTACATCTTCACACCTTCACATCTGCAGATCTTCTCTCGCTCTTCTTTCTATCTCTCTCTTAAGGCGGGGGCGGTGCCGCCGGAGCGCCACGAAACGCAACCCTTTCGCAGGAAATGGACGTTGGACGTCAAAAACTGAAGTAAAATTGCGATTTTACTTGGCCCACCGCAACCCTTTCGCACGAAATGGGCGTTGGACGTCAAAAACTGATGTAAAATTGCGATTTTACTTGGCCCACCGCAACCCTTTCGCACGAAATGGACGTTGGACGTCAAAAACTAATGTAAAATTGCGATTTTACTTGGCCCATCGCAACCCTTTCGCACGAAATGGACGTTGGACGTCAAAAACTGAAGTAAAATTGCGATTTTAGCTAGTCCATCGCAACTCTTTCACACGAAATGGACGTTGGACGTCAAAAACTGAGGTAAAATTGCGATTTTGAAGTGTCAATCGTAACCCTTACACGCGACATGGACATTGGACGTCAAAAACTGCAGTAAAATTGCGATTTTAGCTAGTCCATCGCAACCCTTTCGCACGAAATGGACGTTGGACGTCAAAAACTGAGGTAAAACTCCGATTTTGAGGTGTCAATCGCAACCTTTACACGCGAAATGAGGTTCGATCGCCAAAAACTAAGGTAAAATTGCGATTTCACGGGTCCGGTCTCTGTGTGTGAAAGTGTTTGTGTGTAAAAGCTTCTGTGTGTAAAAGCCTCTGAGCGTGAAAAGTGTTTGAATGTAAAAGCGTCTGTGTGTGTGACAGTTTCTGTGTGTAAAAGTGTCTGTGTGTAAAAGCTTCTCTGTGAAAAAGCGTCTGTGTTTGAAAGCTTCTGTGGGTAAAAGTGTCTGTGTGTAAAAATTTCTGTGTGTAAAAGCGTCTGTGTGTAAAAGCTTCTGTGTGTAAAAGCGTCTGTGTGTGAAGGAGCTGTATGTAAAAGCGTCTGTGTGTAAGAGCTTGTGTGTGTAAAAGCGTCTGTGTGTAAAAGCTTCTGTGTGTAAAAGCGTCTGTGTGTGAAGGAGTCTCTGTGTAAAAGCTTCTGTGTGTAAGTGCCTCTGTGTGTAAAAGCGTCTGTGTGTAAAAGCGTCTGTGTGTGAAAGCGTTTGTGTGTAAAAGCTTCTCTGTGTAAAAGCGTCTGTGTTTGAAAGCTTCTGCGTGTAAAAGCGTCTGTGTGTGAAAGTGTCTGTGTGTAAAAGCCTCTGTGTGTGAAAGTGTTTGTGTGTAAAAGCGTCTGTGTGAAAAAACGTCTGTGTGTAAAAGCCTCTGTCTGTAAAAGCCTCTGTGTGTAAAAGCGTCTGTGTGTAAAAGCCTCTGTGTGTAAAAGCCTCTGTGTGTGTGTGTGTGTAAAGGCATATGCGTGTAAAAGCGTCTGTGTGTAAAAGTGTCTGTGTGTAAAAGCGTCTGTGTGTGAAAGGGTCTGTGTGTAAAAGCGTCTGTGTGTAAAAGCATCTGTGTGTAAAAGCGTCTGTGTGTAAGAGCTTGTGTGTGTAAAAGCTTGTGTGTGTAAAAGCGTCTGTGTGTAAAGGAGTCTGTGTGTAAAAGCTTCTGTGTAAAAGCGTTTGTGTGTAAAAGCGTTTGTGTGTAAAAGCGTTTGTGTGTAAAAGCGTCTGTGTGTAAAAGTCTCTGTGTAAGCGTCTGTGTGTAAAAGCGTCTGTGTGTATAAGCCTCTGTGTGTGAAAGTGTGTGTGTGTGTGTAAAAAAAAAGCGTGTGTGTGTGTAAAAGCTTCTGTGGGTAAAAGTGTCTGTGTGTAAAAGCGTCTGTTTGTAAAAGCGTCTGTGTGTAAAAGCCTCTGTGTGTAAAAGCCTCTGTGTGTAAAAGCGTCTGTGTGTAAAAGCGTCTGTGTGTGAAAGTGTGTGTGTGTGTGTAAAAGCTTCTGTGTGTAAAAGCGTCTGTGTGTGAAGGAGTCTGTGTAAAAGCTTCTGTGTGTAAGTGCCTCTGTGTGTAAAAGCGTCTGTGTGTAAAAGCGTTTGTGTGTAAAAGCGTTTGTGTGTAAAAGCTTCTCTGTGTAAAAGCGTCTGTGTTTGAAAGCTTCTGCGTGTAAAAGCGTCTGTGTGTAAAAGTGTCTGTGTGTAAAAGCCTCTGTGTGTGAAAGTGTTTGTGTGTAAAAGCGTCTGTGTGTAAAAACGTCTGTGTGTAAAAGCCTCTGTCTGTAAAAGCCTCTGTGTGTAAAAGCGTCTGTGTGTAAAAGCCTCTGTGTGTATAAGCCTCTGTGTGTGAAAGTGTGTGTGTGTGTGTAAAAGGAAAGCGTGTGTGTGTGTGTAAAAGCGTCTGTGTGTAAAAGCCTCTGTGTGTAAAAGCCTCTGTGTGTGTGTGTGTAAAGGCATATGCATGTAAAAGCGTCTGTGTGTAAAAGTGTCTGTGTGTAAAAGCGTCTGTGTGTGAAAGTGTCTGCGTGTAAAAGTGTCTGTGTGTAAAAGCGTCTGTGTGTAAAAGTCTCTGTGTGTAAACGCGTCTGTGTGTAAATTGTCTTGATACCACTTGTCTCGCCTGCCTATAATACATCTTTAATATATGGGCTTGTAATATAGTGTCTCAATACTAACAACAAAAGACCCTGCTCCTCTACGCTCTCGGGCCATCCGTCGTCTAGTTCTCTGGGAAAAAAACGCTTCGGTATGTCTGAAACTCACCTCAAAATTTTGGGAGGGTGGGGAACTGTCACTTGAAATAATTGTGGGAGGAAAAACACACCAGAAACTGAGGATCCTCTACCAATCAACCAGTGTGGGGATTTGAGCAAGAGATATGTGGACAACAAACAAATCTGGTGATAAATATGACAAACAAGAAATCTGGTGGTTCGCAAACAATAAATGGTGATTCAGCCAATATCAAAATCGGGACTTCCTCTCCAGCACACAAGACTGGAAATCTGAAATCTACATGTTTTATCTGCAACTGACAATACATGCAGATTCTGCAAAGGTAGATCTGCGTATCTGTCGCGGATCCAATTGATATGATACCTTTTTTCTTGTCCTTTGGGTTGATTCCCCCAGTAGACAAGCATGCAAAAATATGATACCGACCCGGAATACTTGGAACCCTTGCAACACTTGGCACTACCAACCACCAACCAATCCAGCCCCCAGCTTTCAGCCTGCATCACAACAAAAAGGACGTTCCACTGCCACATGGTGTAGAACGCAAATGCAATCTCCACGGCAGCTTTGAAAATACAAAAGGCAAAGTAAACCTGAGAATCCGTGGGGCCCATTGGTCGGGTGCCAAGTGCAAGAATCAAAGCGGTTTGCGAACCAGTTTCTACTGTAGCAAGACTCATCAAAGAATCTGGGTTGCACGCTCTTCAAATTCCATCGCCAAACCAGGCAAAAATCAGAGTTGCTGTGAAAATTGAATTCGCCCTTGGCAAAACCTACAACTTTCTTTGCAAGATCGCCGAAAAACTCTTGAGAAAATAGGTGGGTGTTCCTATTTGTATCCATTTTTCCCATGATTTTCCCATTTGAAAAGAGATTTTCCATTGATATACCAAGAAAACAACCACCGAGAGGCTGATACCAAAGGGCGGTTCAAGGTCTTTGCCCCCAGCATGCCACAGAGTGGCCCCAAGATGAGGACAGCCAGGGACAACCACATCGAGTCCCTTGCCGGTGGATGGGAACGGACTGAACCTGTGGATTTCACCAGAAAACAATTTGGGATTTCAGCAACCCGGATCGATTTCGGGGACAATTGACAATGGAAAACGTGTTGTTTGGTGTCCTATAAATTTTCCCTGAAAAGAATGCTGGGACCCTCCTCGCCCCCACGACCCGGGGAGACTCCTTTGACCTTGGTTTCGGAACTTAAGATGCGTCAAGCCACTCAACCTTACCGCCGCTCATTTACCCACAATTTGAAGAGAAGTGTTGGAAAATGTTGGGATGTGAAGAACAAATAGGGTGGTTTGGCATTGACCCGTTCCAAAATGAGTGAATAATCAAACCAGCTACCAAAAAAAATGTGGTTGAGGTTCCCTCGATTGCTACAAAAATACGGTTTTCTGAAATCATGTTGTATTATCGCCTTTACCACCACTTCTCGATGGTTTCCACATGGCACACCTCATGGTTTCCATCCATTTTGCGGCGCCTCGTGCTGGCCAGCACTGCGATGGCCTTCAGCAGGGTCGTGGCGAAGTCCAGGCCCGAAAAGCAGAGCACCGCGGTTCGGTAGTTGAGCACTACCTGCTCCTGGGAGTGTCAACGCGGGATCCACCCAATGTCATTAACATTATGATATCTTTATTAACGGTGTATAATCAAGGGAAACGTAGCTCAAAAATTTCCGACTTGCGGACGAATGTCCATGGTCAGTCTTGTCATCATGTCAACCACAGAGGCAGCAATAGCAGTTCGCAACTGGGAGTTGTAGAGGAGAGTATAGCAATTCGGAAGCGTGTGAATTCGCGGGTAAAGACATTTTCGGGCGCGAAACCTTGTGTCTTTGAAGGGTATAGAGGGGTCGCGAAAGTAGGGTCTGTTGCGGTTGCGGGCCTCCATCTGGGAAAACAATGCAGGAGACTGTATATAGCGAGAGCCCGAATTTATTCAAAAATGTGCTCCGGGCTGCAATCGCGCGTCACTTTTGGAACATGAGGTCTACAAAATGCGCACGAGACTGTAGCGAGAGCTTGCTTTCACCAAAAAATGCTGAAAACTGAGGTGGGCAGGCTGCAGATTTGTTTGCACGCCAATAATTTCAAGTCCGAAATCGATTCGATGGTGCGTCGAAGCTATGCGGGTTTGCAACCGCCTGTGACGAAACGCACCGGCACGACTGTGCGGAGGAGAGCAGCGCTGATGCTGCGACGCTCGATTGCAGCTGGATGTTGCAAAATGCACTGTGCTGGCCGCGCGGGAAGAAGAATTGGTTTGCAGAAGCAACAGAAGACTGGGACAGGCAGGCAAGGCAGAGCAGAAGCGGGCCAGAGAGGAAGTAGCCCAAATAACAGGCTGCTCAGACCAGAAGTAGCTGAGAGAAGAGGTACCTCAGCGAAGAGGTCACACAGTGAAGAAGTAGCTCAACAAAGAAGTAGCGCACCCACTCATCCATCCATCCACCCACCCACTCACTCGAGCCAGTCAGTCAGTCAGTCAGTCAATCAATCAGCCATTCGTTTCATTCATTCAGTCATTCATTGATTCATGTCATTCGCTTCATTCATTTCATTCATTTCATTCATTTCGTTCATTTCATTAATTTCATTAATTTTCATGCATTTCTTCAGTCAATCAGTCAGTCCGTCAGTCAGTCACTCAGTCAGTCAGCACCAGTTGCTCATTTGTTGATGCACCTCATTGATAATTTATAGATGATTTACCCATTTAAATGATGATTTTCCATAGCTATGTTAAATTACCAGAGGGTAGCCAACTATGGTGCTCACTAGGACACCAGGGTTGTGAAAACAGAGACCCTTAGTATCTGGAGTACAACTTAATGCCCATAATATTGGTTCGACTGGAAAAAAAGGCTACCCCCAAACATTGTTTGATGGTTGAATCACTTTCTCCGTTGAAGTTGTCATCAAATGTGGGTAAAATCTCCCGTTCTCAGACAAAACCGAATTTATCATTTTGTTGGTATTCAAAAAATATGTTCATTACATATCTCCATCAAATATCCATTGGCTATGAATATCCCCATAAGATTGTGAGTCTAATCCCGACCTGTCATGTCAACCCTGGATTAAGAAACTCTAACTATTAATTGCGGGGTTACCCTTAAACAGGTTTCTAAATTACTATTGAAATTGATACCCTTCCCCCTGTTGATGTACTGGGGTTCAGAAAATCTTGGGCTAACATTGTACCTAGATGAATCCAAATATATACAAATACATATTTCCATAACCTGGTTCGGTTTGTTTAATCCCAATGATTCACCACTCTATTTGATAAATATATGCAATAATATAAATAGAATATCCCCAGCTACAGTAGTTATATATTTATGATATATAGTAATATACTTCTTCTAGATTACAAAAGACCAGATTCCATTGGCAGAACCACCCGTCACAAGGCTATCCCCACCTGTACGGTCAGAGGTGGCGCACCCACCAAAACGCCCATCGGTATCTGAGGAGCGCCAACGGGAACGCCTTGCGGGCCGCAACGGACCAAGGGCAATGGAACCTGGGAAACCCTCATGGCCAGGGATACCATACCTATCCATCTACGAGGTCGATGTTTCTATAATGGTATCATTAGTTACTCATTAGTTTCCAACTTTAGCAAATAACGTGGTCTAGATTTTTGCATACATTGATCTACCATTAGGTAAGGCTACTTTGAACTACTGTGGCATGGAAAACAAATGGTAAGGATATGCCAACCTTGGATACCGTTGCATTTGTTTTTTGACTCATTATAATGCGTGCGTGTCTGTCTGTGTGCTTGCATTCATGGCAAAAGATTTAATCATCGAATGATCGGATATTGGGATTTTATCCAGGAGATGATAAGGGCAAAATGAAGAAATGATCTAATGTTTTTCAGTGTCAAAATTTGGTCTCCAGAAAAAATGCATAGCTATACACACATGATATTAGTAATTAAAATCTCATCATAACACAACAATCGTATTGCTGATAATAATGGTAGTACTGTAATGGTAATGATAGTACGGATCACAATAGTGATAGTGGCCATGATACAGTAGTGGCTGACAGGAATGATTACAATAGTGACTACATATCATAGTTACAGCGACTGCAACAAGAGTAAGTGATAATCCTAAATAGCCAGGATAAAGATCATGTCACTTTCACAAAAGTTATCATGTTCATTCCTGGTAGCACTACTACAGCTATTATGATAACTATTATAATGAAATAGTTCATGAAAATGACCTGTGATTGCATCAGTTTTGATATCATTACATACTACTTATTTTACTATCATTGCATACTGTGACCATCACAATAGTAAGATATAAGAGAAGATACTTACAATTATAGATGGAGATTAGTATTATGACGATCGATATTGTTATCGTTGTCATTATTAATGTCATTATCGCTAATACAGCCACTATCATAGCTGTCACTATTACCATTACAGGTAATGATCATGATCATTGATTACATTAGCATTGCTGTCATTACATATGATAACTATCACTGTTAGTGCATACTACGATGACGATGATGATGATTATCATTATTGCCGGTAGTACCGCACAAGGCGGTGGCCGAAGTTTCAAAAATAGGGAACCTATAGGAGAGGTTGGTTGTTGTGAATCACCGATGGCAGAGCGAATCCACTGATGGACTGAAAGGTGGTTGGAGTTGTGTTTTCTGGAGTGGCTACAATGGTTGCAGTCACCTGGTCGGTCACCTCACCTACAACTGCTGGATGTAGCGTGATGTAGTGCAGCTGTAGATGTAGTTGTAGTGTAGTGGAGCTGTAGCTGTGGTGTAGTGTACTTAGTGTAGTGTAGTTGCAGTTGCATTTGTGGTGGAATGAGTGGAGCGTACTGTAATGTAGGGTAGTGTATTGTAGTGTAATCTAGTGTAGTGTAGCGTAAAGTAGCGTAGTTGTAGCTGTAGTTGTAGTTAGTGTAGTGTAGTGTAATGTAGTGTAGTGTAGTGTCCTGTCGTGTCGTGTCGTGTTGTGTGGCGTGGTGCGGTGTAGTGTAGTGCAATTAGTGGAGTGTAGTGTAGTGTAGCGTTGTGTAGTGGTAGTTGCAGTTGCAGTTGTATTTGTTGCTGTAGTTTAGCGTAGCGTAGTGTAGTGTAGTGCACCGTAGTGTAGTGTAATTGAATGTAGTGTATATAGTGGACTGTAGTGTAGTGGAGTGTAGTGTAGCGTAATGTAGTTGTAGTTGTAGTTGTAGTGTATTGTATTGCATTGTAATGTAGTATGATGTAAGTAGTGTAGTGTAATGTAATTAGCGTTAGTGTAATGTAGCGCAGTTGTAGTTGTAGTTGTGGATGTAGTTGTAGTGTAATGTAATGCAATGTAGTGTGGTGTAATTGGCGAAGTGTAGTGTAATGTAGCTGTAGTTGTAGTTGCAGTTGTAGGTGTAGTTGTAGTTGTAGTGTAATTGAGTGTAGTGTAGTGTCGTGTCGTGTCGTGTTGTGTGGTGTAGTGTAGTGTAGTGTAGTGTAGTGCAGCGTAGTGTAGTGTAGCCTAGTGTAGTGTAGTGTAGTGTAATGTAATTAGTGTAGTGTAAGGTAGTTGTAGTTGTAGGTGTAGTTGTAGTTGTAGATGTAGATGTAGTGTAGTGTATTGTGGTGGTTGTAGTTGAAACTGCTACAAAACCTTCACGTTTTGCTCAATTTTGACTAGGGTCACAATCCCTTGCGCCTGCCACACAAAAGGACATCTGAACGTCCAAAAGCGGTCCCAACATGTAGTGCTTTTAACATTTTGACTTGGAAATGTGCTTCCTGCCACACCGGCGTGCACTTTTTCGACATCACAGCGTCCAAAAGTGTTCGGAACATGGTGTGCTTTGTACATTTTGACTTGGAAATTTGCTTCGCGCCCCAACGGCGTGCACTTTTTCGACATCGCAACTTCCAAAAGTGTTCGGAACATGGTGTGCTTTGTACATTTTGACTTGGAAGACCAGCGTGCACTTTTTCGACATGTCAACTTCAAAAAGTGCTCCGAACCTGGTGTGTTTTGTACATTTTGACTTGGAAATTTGCTTCACGCCACAACGGCGTGCACTTTTTCGACATCACAACTTCCAAAAGTGTTCGGAACATTGTGTGCTTTGTGCATTTTGACTTCGAAATGTGCTTCGCGCCACAACGGCGTGCACTTTTTCGACATCTCAACTGCCAAAAGTGGTCCGCACCTGGTGTGTTTTGTACATTTTGACTTGCAAACGTGCTTCGCGCCACAACGGCGTGCAATTTTTCATCTCTCATCTGGCCAGCTGGCTCCGCACCCGCCGCTTTAGCGAGCCTACTTTTCGACCCTCCGGAGCCTCAAATCATTGGAAAAACACAATGTTTCGCGACTTTCCTACCTTTTCGCGCACCTGGATCTTCTTTCTTCTGAGACTTTCTCTTTTTTGATCTTCTTTTTTCTTCTCTTCTCTTCTCTGACTCTTCCCATCTCTGCTTTTTATCTGTCCATATTGTCGGAAGTTTGACTTCTAAACTTCCTTCGATGATGATTATGAACATAATCATCGTCATGATGATGGCGGAGAAACATCAAATTAAGCACAAACCCAATGCAACTTCGGCTCCACCTATGGGCGTACCCTGCACCACTGGGAAGGTTTCGCCCATGGCTTCGCCCCGCTCAGCCGCGCATTGCCTGAAGCAAAGGCAGCCACTGAAGAATATTGGGAGATGAATCCAGATGGGGAAATCCAGAGAAAATGTAGTGAAATATAATGATACAATAATAAAGCCATAATATATATATATATTACAATACAATAATACAATACAACACAATACAATATAATGTTTACCCATATATGATATAGGATATATGGTACAGAATATATAAGTTTTAAAATATAATCCACAATATAGAATATAGAGTATATAGAATATTATATATAATATATACCATATAATATAAAATGTAAAATATATAATGTATAATGTATAAAATATAATGTATACTATGTATACACTATATATTATATGTTATATGATACATAATTTCTACTATACATTATATATTATATGTTTGAAAATATAAAATATAAAATACATAATACAGTACATAATATATAATATATAACATATAACATAAATATTATGATATACAATATAGTGTATATATATAACATAAAACATAATCATATACAATATAATATATAGTTAATGAATAATATATAATATAAAATAATATATAATACAATATAACAATTTTATATATAATAATATATAATATATGATAATGTATAATATATAATATATAATAATATATATAATAGTTAATATACAATATATAATATATATAATATATAATATGAAAGTTATATAATGTATAGTATATAAAATGTAATTTCTATTATATGGATAGTAAATAATATATATGATATAATAAAAAGAGATTAAATGCAATATAAAAAAGATAAAATACAAATGTAATATAATCTGATATAATCTGGCACAAGATAATGTAATATACTATATTATAATGTAATGTAATGCCATGTAATAAAAGGGTATATTATCTTCTATACTACAATGTAATGTTTAAAAAATATAATATAATAAAAAGTAATGTAATGTAATGTAATGTAAGGATGTAATAGAATAGAATGTATATAATTTTTGTATTTTGATTTTGTAAGTGAAAACTATAATACATATAATGGACTATAATACAATGTCAAATAATGTAATAGTATGTAATAAAATATACATTAATTTAAAGTAATATCATATACTATGATATGATACGTTAGGATATGATATGATATAATATAGTTTACTATATATGTTATAATATAATATGATATAATATGATATAATATAATATAATATAAATAAAAATAAATAAATATAATATAATGCAATAATATAATGCAATAATAATGTAATACAATGAAGTATAATATGATATGATTGGGTATGATATAGTATTAAATATGATATGAGTAGATATGATATTTTAGAATTTGCTATCAGATGACGAGATGTTATGACGTAATGTAGTATAATGTAAATTAATCGGATCACATATGACATAATACAAACACCTGGTATTGTCGAAATAGATCCAATAAATACGTATGTGTAATAATAGGCTTACCTATACATTATACATCATGATACATCTATGTCAATGATCCAGTCCGCTCGGGTTGCAAGCTACTGGATTCATCCACCCAATGAGGTCTCAATCAGTTGGCTTTTCAACACACAACAAGCGTCAACGATTCTCAGAAGAAAAGGTGATAGACCAAAACGACAATGGGATTCGTCAAAATTCCCAAAATCAGTCTTTTCGGGTTCAACACAGGCAATACCTCGGCAACCAACTCAGAGTTCAAGTTCTCCGCGGCCTGTTGTCTTCAATCGTCGTCATGGCTGCGGTCACAGCGGTTGTGAATGATCCCAAATGGCTGCGAAGGTTGGCTGCTGCAACACCAGGTCTGTCGCGGCGACAGCGATGTCCCTGACAAATTTCTTGAGTGCTATTTTTACAATTGAAAAACATCAAAGCTCTAGACATTAGCATGTAGCATTTATTATCAGACCTTGAACAGCCATTTCTATTTATATTAACCCATATTAACCCAAAAAAGATGCTGATAAGTCAATCATGACTAGTTAGTTTCGATTCGGATTCTACTTTTCGGCATCTTCATTGTGGTTGCTATACAAATTCATTCCCCAATAGACCCCCTTGGCCGTGTCCCTCTTTTCCTAACTCGCCCGGTCTTTGGCACTTTGGACCACTTCATCCCAGTGCGGGCGGAATGCCTCAGGTTCCCCACAGGTGTCACCCCTTTTACCCTCTGGTAATTTAACATAACTATGGAAAATCACCATTTATAGTGAAATTTCCCATGAAAAATGGTGACTTTCCATAGTTATGTTAGTTTACCAGAGGGTAATGGAAAATCACCATAAGATCCATAAGTCGCTGGAGTTTACTGAACTGCAGGACTCAGCCAAGGGGCGTTGTAAACTCGCGTCCGGTTGTTGGCAAACCACTCATCATCCTGCAAAAGCTTGCCGAATTGTTGGTGGCCAGAAATGGGGGATACTCCAAAATTACTCAAAAATGGCGAAGTTGGTAAACCACTGGATCTGGGCTACAGTACCCCATAACAAACTCACCCCGATGTCCTAGACTTTCAACATACTGGACTTTTTGGGATTAAAAAACGACCTTCGAACCTGGAATCATTGGATTTTTAACTTGGTTTTTATTCAACATATACCAACCATCACAAAAACCCTCGAAAAAAACTAGGGTTCTCCATGTTTTTCCAAGGCCTTCCCCGTTTCGAAACCACCCCGAAACCTGGGACGCGGGTCCCGTTCGCTGTGAAACTGCCGCAGCCAGCGCTCGAAGGCCTCGGTCGCATTCGCATCGCCGGCCGCAACGAAGGCGGCAGCGGGCTCGGCCATGGAGCCGCGCACGAGGTCGTAGAAGGGCCGGTTGCGGGCCTGGATCACCAGTGGTGAGGAGACAAACCATCCGAAAATGGGGAATCGTAAGCCATGTTCATCCATTTTAAGCAGAAATGACATGTTGAACCAGCAAGAAATAGATGTATTTGCTTAGGGGAAAGGTGGATAGATTGGAATGCCAGAATTTGTTACTATCAAATTGTGGTTGGAATGCATTTGCCGTTTGAGCGATTTGGGATGGCACCATTCGCCTCAGCATCCTCGGGGTCAACATCAGCAGCTTCATCGGTTGCCTTGCCGCGGGCGAACACCAAGAAGGTGTGATTCATCTAACTCGACCTAGTTCCATGAGGATATCGTTTTTTTTCAGAAATAACAATGATCATAGTCATGATCATAGTCATGATATGTCATGATAATAGTACTAGACTCACATTTTCATGACCATTATGAAATGACAATAACTCATGTTGTAGTTAATAACAAGCTCCCGTTGCGCCTTGCTGGCTTCCAGTGCTGGAGGCTCCTCGTTTTCCATGTTGGAAGCCAGTGGATCCTCCTGGAAGAATGGCCACCGAAATATGTGTATGTAATGTATGTAATGTATGTATGGTTCCTATATAATATGTATATATTATATATTATATATATCATCATAGTGTATAGATATATATATATAATTGGATATTAGATGTCAGATATTACAAATAGATATAGAGAGAGAGAGAGATCATGTACAACTATACATACATATATATATGTGTGTGTGTGCATAACATATCCTCAGTTCTTATGACATCTTATGCCCCCCTTCTTTTGTTGCCTTCCACGGCCCAAAAAAGGCCTGCATTTCAGCCATGGCTTGTTCCAGCTCGCGCGCCGCAGCCTTGGAGATGATGCTTGAAATGGCTGAACATTTAGATATCATATGTAAAATGTATATCATTATACTCGTGTCATATATATAATATAATATATATAATATATATATATATATTATAATATATATATAATATAATATATATATACATATATAGGCATCATTTTATGGTTCAGATATGTAGATGATATGTATTCACATTTATGTAAAGGAGAACAAGTTGATATATATATATATCATTTACGTATTGCATTTAGAAATTATGGCTTGCTTTATTTGTTTTTCCCCGTAAATTTATTTGTTTTGTCCCCGTATATAGATAAATAAATAAATAAATAGATAGATAGATTGATTGATTGATTGGTTGATTGATTGATAGATTGATAGAATGATAGAATGATAGAATTAGATTCTAAGTAGATTCAACTAGATTCTAAGTAGATTCAATTAGATTCTATTGGATTCAATTAGATTCTATTGGATTCTATTGGATTCTATTAGATTCTACGAGATTCTATTAGATTCTTTAGACTAATAGTAACCCAAAAAGATAGAAAAGTAATTGATTTATCACTCTTTTGGCAGAGCTTTAAGCGTTTCTATCTTTTTGGAGGGTCGGCTTTGAATTTTGGGAAAATTCAGATTGGCCAAACTGATGTTCAATTGATCCCCTTGACAATTATAAAATGAAGATCCCATTTGAGGGTTTCACTTCCTAATAATAAAAACTAGTCAACACTGGGGTGTTTTTTTTTGGGGGGTCCGTCCTTTAAAAACATGTCTTTTAGTTGTTTTAATTAAGGTGTTTGATTCAATATTAGGGGAACCTTCGAAATCCAATTGTTGGAAATATTTTTCTTATATAGATTTTGAAAAGGATTTTTATCGATGTTGAAATCGAACAAAAAAATATATCATTAACGTTTTTAATTCAGTAATATTAGCGAAATCCAATGTTTGGCAATATGTTAATTAGATTTAAAAAGAATTTGATCAATCTTGAAACCGTTGTTTTTATTAAGGCTTTAAATTTAGTATTAGGGGGAAGCTTCGCACCCTAATATTAAATATCCCCTAATACTAAAAGCTCCTCTCCGGGTGTTTTTAGGGGGGTCGTTTAGTATTAGGGAGAAGGGATTATAGATTCAGCTTAAGATTGGGTTCAACGGTTTTTTATCTGGACTTGATCCAATCACCAATCCAGAGGCAATAGAAGGTCTGGTGAACCAAACATCTTCGCAGTTGATGTTATTCTGCGCTTCTTTTCCCATTGGTCCTCCCATTTTACCATCAGAAGTTTCCCTTGTTTTTCCTTCATTTCCTATACCCTCCGGTAACATGGCAATGGGAAATTCTCCAATTCTCCATGTAGTTCGATGACTTTCCCAGCGAACCACGTGCCGCACCTTCGCCTTATCCCTCGTCCACACCGACAGCGACCGCATCTTGGCAGCAATGCCACCTTTGAAAACAATCGACTGGGGTCCTCCCCAACATTTGGAGTCCCAAGTCCACCCCCTTTCGTCCATGGATTGGTGTTGCGAAAGTTTGAAAAGCACGATTTTTACCCTGAAAATCCCTGACATCTAGGGCTCTCCTGTAGACGTTCCCATTCTCCAATTCCCGCCTGAGCGCCGCTCCCGCTGCACCGTCAGCACCACCGGGCGGTTGGCCAAGGCTGCATCAAACTCCTTTTTTCGCACCCAAAAAATGGCCAGGAAAATGGAGGGGAAAATTACTCATATGGTAGTTGAGGACTTGAGTTCTGTAAATTCTTGGGTTGAGCTGATTGAGAGGGATAGTTCGGGGGAATTCGTAAACTGTCGGAGCTTGAATATGACAAAGATGATTGAAAAAACCTAATTCCCAAGGAAAAATAATCTACAAGGCAGGTTTTCCACTTCTACATGAATTCCCTGGAGGGCACATCTCAAAATAGGGGGTACATCCCTATTGCATCCTATTGCAGCTGGTGAAATCCATTTGTTTGCTGCAAAAAAATCGTTAAATATTCCCATCTCATTGGTGTCTATCCCCATTTTGCGGGCGAAGCGAGACTTTCCGCACGACTTGGCACGCTACGATTTCAATCCAGAAACCTGGAAAGTGACACAACCGAAAATGGAACATTCAACTCATGTGTTAAGAAAATGGCCTTGGAAAGAAACATCTTCCGAAATATTTCTTGACGCGCCTCCCATGTCATGTTCCTCGCAGACCTCAGGGAACAAAAAGGCAGTGAAGCCCATCACCAGATATCAGCCATGGTCAGAAACCCATTGGCATACCCTCTGGTAATCTAACGTAGCTATGGAATCTGGCCACCATTTCTGATAGCAAAAATCATCTACAAATTCTACAAACAGGCCATTTTCCACAGCCATCTGAGACTTACCAAAGGGTATCAGGATCTCAGCCAGAAGTTTGTCGAAGCTGTTGGGGTCCCTGAAATTGCGTGGTTTTCTTGACAAAATGACATGGCTAACTGGAAATGCCGGAACTAGCCATGGAGGTTTTATGGGGGAAAAATCATGGTTGATGACACAGGAGGGTAGATTGGTCTTAGGCCCAATGATCTGTGGCTTGACACCTTCCATAGCGTTGGTTTGGGATTGTTGGAGATTTGAACCATTCTTAGCTCCTTCAACAAAAACACGGCTAGTGTTGAAACTGTCATTTGAAACATCAAAAAAAAGTAAAAATATGATGTTCCAATTTGTAAAAAAAAACTGAAACATTAGCATCTTCCATTATTCTCAAATAATCATGACCATCGATGACCATCAATACTAAAAACAGGTACTGAATCACCGTGAATCACTGTTAAACCTCCCATGCGCATATTTTTCCAATATTTCCATAGGTTTCCAGCTGGTCATAGGGTACCCCCATGGGGATCCCCAGGGCCCCCCAGCAGGCCGTTCAGCGAGATCACTTCGTCGCCCGTGGACAGCTCGGAAGTGCTGGAACTGGCCACCTGCTTGCTGGCGGCGCTCCTGCGAGGGGAGATGACGTTTATAGATAGATAGATAGATAGATAAGATAAGATAAGATAAGATAAGATAAGATAAGATAAGATAAGATTAGATAGATAGATAGATAGATAGATTAGATAGATTAGATAGATTAGATAGATTAGATAGATTAGATAGATTAGATAGATTAGATAGATTAGATAGATTAGATAGATTAGATATAGATTAGAAAGATTAGATAGATTAGATAGATTAGATAGATTAGATAGATTAGATAGATTAGATAGATTAGATAGATTAGATAGATTAGATAGATTACATAGATTAGATTTAGATAGATTAGATAGATAGATAGATAGATAGATAGATAGATAGATAGATAGATAGATAGATAGATAGATAGACATATATATATATATATATCATATGTGTATTAGATATGTATATATATATGTTTATATATAAATCAATTTTGATGTTATACTATATTGTATAAAATATCTATGAAATACATATTATTACCTATTTACAGTATTTGTGCCTAGAAAGATAGATCGATTTGATGCATCAAAGATGCGTTTCTTCGTTTGCTTTTGTAACGATCTATTTATAGCCAACAACCATAGAGACTTAACGGAAGAGCACCGACATAAATGAATATGGGTTTACAGTATGGGCCTGCTCACTAGACTATGTTGGATGTAAATAGCTACCTATGAGGCTGTTGAAAAATAGTTTTGACCCATAGAGCCCGCTGGAATGAGGGATGAACATCCACATGTCGACCCCAAGCAGCTCCTGTTGAAGTCAACGGTGCCTTCGTTCAACGTCACCACTTCCTGCTCCTGCGTTTTGGTCGCGTCCTGCCAATGCGGCTAGTCCCTGCACAGCGAAATGGTTGCTGTTTCGCCGCTTGAACTCAAAACCATACCTGTCATCTCATGCAATTTATCATGTTTCTACACTAAATGGATCTAAATGGTTACAGATCGGAATTAAACACACCCTGGGTAGCTGTTGGTCAGGCATTACGAAGAAAGAGCATTCTTAAGATCTGCAAAACCTGCTTTTGCTGGTCAAAATTCCTAATGTTAGTGAAAAACTCATTTTGCTCATGATCACAATTTGCTATCGGAAATCCATGCCCCATTTTTGGTGGGTGGAGTCCACCTTTTTTGCTGGTGAAAATCACCGTGGGAATTCCCACGTCCTCCTCCCCGGGCGTGTAGCCGCCAGCGGCCGCTGCCACGCGCAGCAACGCCAGCTCGGCGTCACGTTGCCGGATCCTGATGGTACCCACAATGGTGAATGGTAAATTTGGGGATGGTGGATCCATGTGGATCCTATTGTTTTACCAATGTTTTACCTATGTTTATTGTTAAGATAGGTCGTATATCATATTTCCGTAATAATGTATGTCGTATATCACGTCATGTCGTATCATATGATTTATTGCATTGTGTCTTATTTCAGATTCTTTACTGTATATGTAATACTAGATACATGGACATAGAGATGCAAATTATGGGGCAGGTCCATCGGTGCTTCCCAAAACCTGAAAATCCACCCCATGTACCGTGAAATCAATGGGTTTGGAGGATGATGTTCCGACTGAAAATGACGAGTTTTGCGTCCCATGTTGTTGAGTTTGTTGCTTATCAGGTGGATATTCGAGACCTATAATATTCCCAGGTGCGACATACTGGTTCTTATAAACAGAATACTCAATCCCAGGGATCGTAAGTCCCAGGCGGCTCATGACAATGTTTGGTTTTAAAATCTTTACACAACAATGTTTGGTCTCACAAAAAGAGGTGCTGTAGATCATTTTGAGATATTCTGAATACCAACCCCTCCAAGTCACTCATTGGTGATTTTTCCTCCGGTTTTTTAGTTGAGCTCAAGTTACTCACCAAGCAAACCATCAGCCAAGCGCAACTGCTGGGCCTGAAGTGCCACAGGTCACATGTGGCACCCCCAAAACAGGGCCAGGGCGTTTCATGGGGAAAATGAGGTTTTAAACCACTTGGAGTTTGGTTTTGTTTCCCACCATGTTCAAGCACGGGAGACAAATATCATCTTGATCATATCGCTTTTTATCATGTTGTATCCCCTTCTATCTTCATGACATTTCATAACTCACTCACTGAAATCATATTCATCAAATCGATTCTATCAGCAAATGATTGATGTTTGATATAAATATCATTAATTGGTATGATATATGATATCTCATATATCATATATTATATATCTATATTATGACTTATAACCCATCATGATATTCGCAGCACACTTCAATCCTGCCTGCAAAGCAGCCATCTTGGCCTCGGATTCGGCCAGGGCCTCCTTCAGCCGTTGCACCTCCAAGGAGAAGACGATCAGAGTGCAACTGGATTCGAGAAAAAAAATATCCTGGACAGTCGAAAAAAACACATAGCTAAGGTATACCTATATACTATATATATATATACACTATAAATAAATATAAATATATATATATATACTATAAATAAATCTAAATATATATATATATATACTATATAAAAAATATTATATATATATATATATGTATATCGGTATGAAAAACAAAAATAATAGACAAAAACAACCCAGCCACAAATCACGTACGCTGCCCTGGTGCCTCCATCTCCGCCTTTCGGGCACGCTTCAAGGCTTCCGGCAGCTGTTGCGCCAAGGCCTGAGATGGATACAAGTTATGGTTGATTATTCATATGATTGTGATAATTATTATTATTATTGTTAATAGTTGATATTAATATTAAATTATAGTATCAAACCATGATTATCATGGTTGATATCATTTAATGCTGATTATAGTTGGTTATTTGAACTATTGTGATGATGATATTATTCTATGATTTGTATGATATATGAATGAAATATGATTTCATAGTATTTCATCTGCGTCTATCAGAAGATAATCTCTGTGTGTGTACCTTGCACTGTGATATAACATGCTCCTTCACTCGCATTGACAAACACACCCAACAGTATGCGTCTTGATATGAATCGGATTGGATGTTTTGTTTGGAAATGATCCTTTAGACCCAGAAGAGAAATCGTTCCCACCTTGAAAACATGTGCCCTCCGGTTATTCAATATAGCCATGGAAACTGCAACATTTACTTGGTTGTTTGTGTTTGAACATAATCACATAGCAAACTGTTATATAGTTTACGATAAGGGTAAATCCCCGTTATATCCCCATTAAATACCCTCATGTTTGATGCTTAAAAGGCCAGTGATCTTTAATTACCATAGGCTACTCTCCAGTAAACTCGAATTCCAATGATATTCCTATGGTTGGTTAAATCCCATATCCCATGAATATCCTATCCCAATATATGTTTAGATCATGGTTCCAGCCATTGGTTCACCCAGGTCGGCCCCCGACCTCAGAGGCTTTGGCGGCATTCTGCAAGAGCTCCGCGCAAGCGCGAGCCTTGAACCGGATGGCCGTTGTTCTTTTTAAGGAACGGAAAGAGAAGTGAAGAAAAACCACAGTATAATCTCATTCTAATCCCATTATAATTGGAAAAATGCTGGTTTTATGAGATAATAAGATTGTAGAATGAGATTGCAAGGGGATTACAATGGGATGAACCAACCAAATTAACCCAGTTTTGCAACCCAACCAACAGTCACTGCTGTCGGCAAGAAGCAACGTTTTAAAACGAGTATCCAACGAAAGTGGTACACTCTGGTAATTTAGTATATAGCCATGGAAAAATAACGGGTTTTTACAGGCAAATCATCTATACAGCCATGTATACCATAGCAAACTGTGAAAAATTACCAGAGGGTAGTACAACAAACACGGTGCCTTGATCTGAACATAGGGATATTAACGGAATGGCAATGGAAGCTTTAACCAGGAGTCTCAATGGCTGATGGTCACCCCATGATGGATATCCAATGGTTTTCGATGCTTCAAAACCAGATTGCCAGACCCCAGACTCAATCAGTCAGTCCTCCCAGTCATTGGGTGGTTTTCCAGCATCCCTAAATGCCGGGACCATTTTAGAAACCATTGGAGCCCTGGTCTCCCGCCTCCTTTTCCGCGTCTTCCTCGGGCAAGTGCAGCATCTCCTGTCATCAAACTGGGCAACGAGACCCGGCGACTTGGAGAGCGCTGAAACCCACTGATATTGGAAAAATGTGTGCATATGTTGTACATATATATATACTATATTATATTATATTATATTATATTATATTATATTTTGATATTATACAATTTATATTTTATATTATATATTATATATTATATATTATATATTATATATTATATATTATGTATTATATATTATATATTATATATTATATATGATATATTATATATGATATATTATGGATTATATATTATACATTATATATTATATATTATATATGATATATTATGTATTATATATTATATATTTTATATTATATATTATATATTATATATTATGTATTATATTATATTATATTATATTATATTTTTATATTATACAATTTATATTTTATATTATATATTATATATTATATATTATATATGATATATTATGTATTATATATTATATATTATATATTATATATTATATATTATGTATTATATTATATTATATTATATCCAATTTTTGGTAGAATGAGGCTACCCCAAGTCACCATTTTTTTGTTTCAATGCTCATGGTATGCCCATCCCAACCAGGCTGATCCTGCTGGTCATGGCCCGTCCTTTCACCAGGTGGACTTTAACTGTAGATGTTTAGCATGTTGGATTTTTTCAAACATCTATATAATTTTTGATGATTTGATGTTCATATATATATATAATTATATATATACGTTCATATTACATATATATATATATAGAGCCGATTGTCATATAATCATAGTTTTGTTTCAATCACATTGTGAATGAACAAACCCGGTCAAGTGAGATCGGGTGAGGTTTAGTGGCTGGTGCTACAAGAGAAAGCAAGGCAAAGCCTGTCAAAAGGGATGGGTCCAGCAAAACGATGCTGCACAACAAAGCTGGCATTGAATAGATGTGATATCTTCGGAATTTGTGTGTATATTTGTGTTTGTTTGCGTTGGCAAATGAATCACTTTACTGCAGCAGGGTCCTCCAGCGTTTGAAGCGGCGTGGCATCCGCGGGGGTACCTGATTTTGGCAGAACCTCCGGGGTGGAACATTCCCAGGTCATGGCGTGGTTCTCTTGGTTAACGGCTCCTAGGTATGGTCAATTTCCATAGTTTTTGGCTATCCAAATCATCCAAGGTAGGACAATCCAAGGGACTTGACTCCTGCCCATCATCCACTTCCAGCATATCTCCAATCTTCCGAAGGAACTGCATGGCTGGGGAAGATTGGGCCCAACCGGGCCTTTTGGATAGTGAAACTTACGTGCGGAGAAGTCTGAGAAAAAATCCAGATTCACCGTGTTTTGGTTTCAACATCGTTAGGAACAGAATGTGCGTATAGACGCAAATATCTACAAATAAATCTAATTATACGAGTTTATATTCTAATGTGTATGCATACATATACATATATATGATCCAAATTGTATTGTGTTTGTTTACGTATATACACCGCCTGAGCTGATTTAATCATTAGGACTTCCGTGACATCGCTTGTCACATCCTTTTCCGAACAAACGAAGAGAGCCAAAGATGCGAAGATCCCACAGCCAAATCTGCTGGTTGGTGAGTGCCTTTGACTAAAAAAATGATTGATGAAAAATATGTCCGAACAGAGGCGATTGTTGCAGCTTTATATACTCTCGAGCCATCTTGCCGCAGAAGCGGCGGGGCGTGCACAGCAGAAGGCGCTCATAAGACTCCCCGACCTTCAGGATGGCGGCTACTGCGGCTGAAAACAGGTGCTAGCAATTTGCATTATTCATTGTGATGTTCAGGCTTCTGTCTCCGGCGGCGTGCCTTCGTGCCACCAGCAGAAGGTCTTAGCCATGCTACCAAAGCAAGAGCGTACAGAGCCAATGCAAGGTGCAGAAGTTGAGACTGAAGGTCTGAGATTGTCGACTTCCGCGGCTGTGCCTCCTGGAACGATGTTGAATCATGTTTGAAGCAAGCTTTCAACACCAAGCTCAAAAGAGATGCTCCAACGCAAGGGCAACCATGATATCCCTAGTTCCAAGCCGGCCGCCGTCAAGGCCGTTTTGCGGCTTCTGCGTGCTGAGTTTCCTTCTGCCAAGTGAGCAGCTCTAGGCAACAACTGCAAGGTGACGCCCTCAATGGCGCCAACATATGCTGGCCTAGTGTTTGCGTTTCTGACTGGTGCAATCACGGTCTTCATCATGTGCGAAAGCAAGCCAAGAAGTTGGCTTCCGAACTGGCTGGCAGTGTATGTGGAAAATGCGGGAGCCATCAGAACAATGGCCGTGCATCGGTCATTTGTTTGTCAGATTGAAAATCGGGTGGGAATGCCATCCCTACAATCATTCCTGGTGCCTATGCCAGAGCATGCTGGCCAATGCTAGTGAAATTTTGCAATATGTTCAGTTTGATTCTTGATTGCCAGAGCGGGAACAGAGATGAAGAAACGCAGAATCTGCAGTGGCCAGTTGATTTTGCTTTGAAGCAGAGCGACAGAACCAAGTTAGACATGATGCGTTTTCCATGCAAGAGAATTGGCCGCAGACCTTGGGACTTCTGAGAGTAAGTGGTCGTTCAAATGTTCTTGCAACCATGAAGCTTCTGAACTCTGAGCGAGTAGTCCATTGAGGCTGCACTTGTAAGAGCTTGATGATCATTTTTTCTTTGCCGTTGTCTCATTCATTCGCGCTACACTCTCTGATGACCTGACCTAAGTAGTGAGTCTCTGCGACGGTTGTTTTTTCTCTTGTTTCCTGTTTTCTCTTGTTTCTTGATTTCGTTCTGCTTTGCCTGAAACCCATGCACAGGTCTCAGCGATTTCTACACGAAATTTGCTTGAATTGGCAGCACCATGCTAGTTGACATGTCCATCTCGCCTGACATAGGTTTTCGATTATTTTGTGTTTTTGAGGTGTTTTGCTGATAGTGAGATTCAGAATGGGAAGTGCAAAGAGCGAAGGTACCAAGCCAAAACTTCACAACCTTGCAGATGTTCGAAATGTCCGAACAGAAGCGATTGTTGCAGCTTTATATAATCTCGAACCATCTTGCCGCAGAAGCGGCGGGGCGTGCACAGCAGAAGGCGCTCATAAGACTCCCCGACCTTCAGGATGGCGGCTACTGCGGCTGAAAACAGGTGCTAGCAATTTGCATTATTCATTGTGATGTTCAGGCTTCTGTCTCCGGCGGCGTGCCTTCGTGCCACCAGCAGAAGGTCTTAGCCATGCTACCAAAGCAAGAGCGTACAGAGCCAATGCAAGGTGCAGAAGTTGAGACTGAAGGTCTGAGATTGTCGACTTCCGCGGCTGTGCCTCCTGGAACGATGTTGAATCATGTTTGAAGCAAGCTTTCAACACCAAGCTCAAAAGAGATGCTCCAACGCAAGGGCAACCATGATATCCCTAGTTCCAAGCCGGCCGCCGTCAAGGCCGTTTTGCGGCTTCTGCGTGCTGAGTTTCCTTCTGCCAAGTGAGCAGCTCTAGGCCACAACTGCAAGGTGACGCCCTCAATGGCGCCAACATATGCTGGCCTAGTGTTTGCGTTTCTGACTGGTGCAATCACGGTCTTCATCATGTGCGAAAGCAAGCCAAGAAGTTGGCTTCCGAACTGGCTGGCAGTGTATGTGGAAAATGCGGGAGCCATCAGAACAATGGCCGTGCATCGGTCATTTGTTTGTCAGATTGAAAATCGGGTGGGAATGCCATCCCTACAATCATTCCTGGTGCCTATGCCAGAGCATGCTGGCCAATGCTAGTGAAATTTTGCAATATGTTCAGTTTGATTCTTGATTGCCAGAGCGGGAACAGAGATGAAGAAACGCAGAATCTGCAGTGGCCAGTTGATTTTGCTTTGAAGCAGAGCGACAGAACCAAGTTAGACATGATGCGTTTTCCATGCAAGAGAATTGGCCGCAGACCTTGGGACTTCTGAGAGTAAGTGGTCGTTCAAATGTTCTTGCAACCATGAAGCTTCTGAACTCTGAGCGAGTAGTCCATTGAGGCTGCACTTGTAAGAGCTTGATGATCATTTTTTCTTTACCGTTGTCTCATTCATTCGCGCTACACTCTCTGATGACCTGACCTAAGTAGTGAGTCTCTGCGACGGTTGTTTTTTCTCTTGTTTCCTGTTTTCTCTTGTTTCTTGATTTCGTTCTGCTTTGCCTGAAACCCATGCACAGGTCTCAGCGATTTCTACACGAAATTTGCTTGAATTGGCAGCACCATGCTAGTTGACATGTCCATCTCGCCTGACATAGGTTTTCGATTATTTTGTGTTTTTGAGGTGTTTTGCTGATAGTGAGATTCAGAATGGGAAGTGCAAAGAGCGAAGGTACCAAGCCAAAACTTCACAACCTTGCAGATGTTCGAAATGTCCGAACAGAAGCGATTGTTGCAGCTTTATATAATCTCGAACCATCTTGCCGCAGAAGGGGCGGGGCGTGCACAGCAGAAGGCGCTCACAAGACTCCCAGGCCTTCAGGATGGCGGCTACTGCGGTTGAAAACAGGTGCTAGCAGTTTGCATTATTCATTGATGAAAAAATGGTTGAAGCAACAAACATGGGTTTTTTAACCAACAAACAGTTGGGATTTTATGAGGCAGTCCATCACTTGGCGTCACGAATTCCGGATTGGGATCATCCCAGTGGGTGCCATGAGGTCGCCACCGATCTCCTCGCACCTTTTTTCATAGCGCCACCTCCCGACGACCGCGCGCCACTGCACAGCGCAAAGTTGTATTGTGTCTTGGGGTCGACCAAAAGTGTACGAAACTGTCAGGATACCATCAGGTTTTACCCAGGAACTGTAGCAATTTCTCCAATCTCCCGGATCTCAGGTCTCAAAACAACTGCATCACACCAGGCCCATGGAAAGACATGGAAAGACTACCCCGATCTCCAAAGTTCTAACGTTGCAGACGGATCCCTGACAGTTCCACGGCGGCCCGCAAGCGGCTTGGGACCCACCCGGCGGCGTTTGCAGGGCTCAGGGGCACCTTCAAATGCGAGGGTCAAGTTGATGATGGGAGGAAATCAAGGGGGAAACAAAATATGAATAACTGGTATGGAAGGGCTTATGACATCTTCTAGAAATTGGAAGGGAGAAATTGGATGATCAAAAGGAGAATCATGATTGGCAACTATAGTATGTAAGGAGACATATTATTCATATAATTGATTTTTTGCGTATCCGGAATATCCAAAATGGCTTATTTCGAAACTCCAATGGATTCTGATAATTTCTAATCCGGAAATCAGCCATTTTGGTGACGTGGTGAAACGGAATGGCCCAAGAATGGGTAGTCAAAATCTATAATATATATATATTATAATGGCTTATATATTGCTTATATATGGCTTATGTGGCTTATATATGGCTTATATATGGCCTATGTTCTGGATGTTGGTGAAATATGGACCTTTTGGGAAAATCACACGATTCGTCGTTTTTATGTTGACTTCACCCTTCTGGACACCAACCAATTCCACCCAACCACCTGCCTTACAATTTCCCAACAATGGACTATCAACAGGAAACTTCCCTGGATTCCCAACCCAAGATCCCACCAAGAAACTGCCAATTTTGCATTCTCTGGGGTTCCAATTGTTGCTGAGCTGTAGAAACCCGGACCCATAGCTGTTACGAATCCACCATTCGTGAGCCTGGATGACATGGCTCCGAGGCTGCGCCATGCGCAGCTTGAGCCTTGCACAAGCCTCGCAGCGCGGCGGTTGGAAACAAGGCCAAACTTCCCGGAAAAAAATGAGAAATGATGCGTTTTCTTCATCTGCAGCCAGTTGTTGGAATATGAGAACTTGTGGGATGATGCTAACGGAAAAACTAAAAACTTGAGGTCTCAGCAACCAAATTCTAGGGATGTAAGAAACAATCAGAGTTGGTCAGCAGCCATGGTGTGACTCGAGTTGGTCAAAATTCAAGACCACTTAGGCGTCCGGTGCTCTGTTGCTAAAGTTCACCATTATTGTTGCAGACTCTAAGTACATATATATATATATATTATATTATATATATGTGTGTGTACATGTACAAATATGTTGTTAAAAAATAGGAGATTTTAAAGTTCTAAAGTTTCAAAATAGATATTTTAAAAAATGCAAATATCAAGATAGAGATAAAGTTAAAGATCAATATCAAGATAAAGATCAAGATAAAGACAAATATAGACATATTCAATGCATATATGTACATCATAAACTGCAAGAAGGATAATGTATAAGGTTTTTAGAGAAGAGAAGAGCGTTATTCTTACAGATTGATATATACATAGTTATATTATACACGTATATTATATACATACATGCAAATACGACAAATGATAAGCTATAAGTCCACCACAATCTCTGACTAGGTCATACAACAACTATCAAAATCTACAAACCCACCATACACCCATAAGATATCCCAGGAGGGTGTCCAACCTTGTTCCGCTTGCTCCAACTTCGACAGAAGCCGCGAGCCACGCGCAAAAAACGCCCTGCGTCGTGGCGACGATCTGGGGAGACAACTGCAATCCGGGTTGCACGTACACCACTCGTACAGCCGCCAGCTGCACATCTTTTTCCCATGCCGACTGGGAAGAGTCGTGCTTGAGAAGAGGTGCTACTACCGAGGGACGCTTTCCCAATCGTTTTTCCCCACCTCATTGTGTGGGTTTCTTGTTTTTCTGCTCTGCACCCGGCCGCTCCTCCTCCTCCGCCGCCGCCTCCGCCTCGCCTCCTCTCCTCTCCTCTTTGTCACACACAACTCTTTCACACACAACATTGTCACACGTAACTCTTTCAGACACAACTCTTTCACATAATTTTCACACACCACTCTTTCAGACACAACTCTTTCATACAGAACTCTTTGACATACAACATTGTCACACACAACTCTTTCACACAACTTTCACACACAACTCTTTCAGACAGAATTTGGCAGGTGACATTGACATTACTTTTGTATGGGCTGGCTCTGGTTGGCAGGCGTGGCGCTTGGCCATAATGCAGCTGAGCTCTTCTTGGCGACGCTTGGGAGTGCCGGGCATGGCTTGGAGTCTTGGAGACAACTGCAAGCAGACCCTCCAAACCTCACATGGTTTGAACATTGGAGGAGCCACGGGATAATTCCCCTCCTCCCAGCCTCTCGCGCTTTCTTTCCACCTGCCCATTTTGAAATGGGATGCTTTGGTTTTGACGAACAAAAACAGGTGTTGAAATGATCTCTGCCTACATCTACCATGGCCAATCAAATGCACATATTTTTTGGCCAAAAATCCTAGTTCTTTTTCTCGTAACTCATCCCGGCACCTGTGCCCAGTGGTCTTCTTCTGCCATGCATTGCTGATTCCTGGGAGTTCGGCCATCAACCATGGTACCCCCAATTGCTGCGTTGCTTCATATTCCCATCAGTTGGACATAAATACCCCGTTTTGGTGGGAGATTTACCCCGAAATTTGGATTGTTGACTGTTGGCGAATGTGTTTTTTTTCCAATGCCATGAAGCTACCATTTGGGAATGATGTTTTTGGCACCCATTGCGATTCATGGTGACTCGGGGGATGGTGTTTGCAGCTTTACCACATTAGCAAACATTGCCCAAAACATCCCAAAACTGTGGTTGGACAGTCTTACCGACCCCGAAGCATCTAGACATCCGAAATTCCGTGAAGTTCCAAGTGGATCAATCCCAATTGCTCGCGAGAATCTCCACGTAAAAGGTGCTTTTTTACCTTACTTTTCTCCATGAAATCCATCAAGTCAAGATGCTAATTTTCCAAGTGAGCTTCCCCTTTTTTTGTGCTTACCCTCTGGTAATTTAACATAGCTATGGAAAATCACCATTTTCAATGGGTAAATCCACAATAAATGGCCATTTTCAATAGCTATGTTAAATTACCAGAGGGTAAATCCCATTGTAAACCCATTGTTTGGCATTCGAAATCCCCATCCTTTGATGGTTCAAATCCCACAAATGAGCCCAGCGACCATCGCTCCAGCAGTCGTTGCCGATGAGCTGCGCGGCTCTGCTCGGCCTGAGCCTTAGAAATCGATCATCAGCCTTGGGGGATTAATAACTGGGGTATAGCCAGTATGGTATATGAAACGTTCAGATAATTAGTGATGATGTTGTCATTGGGGTAATGTTAACTATATGGTTTAGAGCCAGTATGGTATATGAAAAATCTGATCATTAATCACTTGTCACCACAATCTGAATCAATCATCTAGATGATTCTATGATAATCTTGTGACGACTTTGATGAATTCAGATGAAATCCAAAACTGATTTGAGGCCAACCACACTTTATGGATTCAAGGCCAGGAAGTCAATGGTTTCCGCGACAATAACAAACAAATTCATAATTCAACCAAAATCAACAAAAATGACTCTGACAAAATAGAACCATGTACCCAAGTTTGATGCTTTAGAACATCATTGTATTACTACTTGGCGGGGTGGTTCCTGAACTGCTGTGAACGAATCAAATAAGCCAAGTATTAGGTACCCCCACTAACCTTCCCAAAAAAAAGTTCGTCAAAACGTCTGGAAACATGCCATGATAGATGGATATAGATGGGCCTAAGATAGTTTCTGTGGTAGTTCTATGATGATTTCCCGTTGGGAGCCCCAGCTCTCCGTGCAGTGCCTGGGCCCCCAGACCAGGCGTTCCTCCCGGAGCTGCCGCGACATCCCAGCCTCCACCTCCACGTCCAAAAAGGTGCTGCGGAGGATCTGCCAGGACCTGGCGAAATCGAGAGGAAACCAATGGAAACCCCCAAGGGGGTTTTTCGTTTTTTCCGGTTTTTCTCTCATGAAACCGTTAGGTTTTTTTTCCATGAAACCATCTTGAGGATTTCCATATGGAACAATTGGTGAACATCTAGACGCTACCAAGGGGTTGTACCCTTTTTCCCGGGAAACCATAACGGGGTTTTCCATTGAAAAACAGGTTTCAACCGTATGTAACACCCAAAACGAAGAAACATCTGGAAAAATCATTGGAAAAAATCACCAGCAGATTGGATTTCACCATGAAGCCTCCATGAAGAGCTACGAGTTGTTTGTGATGCGTGGCTACACTCAAAAAAATCAGGTTTCTTTTTACTGAGACTACAACCATGAAGAAGTGTCTCCAACAAAAATATAGAGTCGAGGCTAGAGCATGGAACTGGGATCCGGATTTGTGTGGTCCAAACAATTGTGGTTGAATCCTGATGCTGGCCGCATCACTTCTCGAGTCTCCAAGTCCTTAAAGTAGCAATGGTTCCATCCCATGTTTGTCCAGTGAAGCCCTACTTGTTCGCCTTTCTTGCCTGGTTGTAATCGCAGAAATTGCCATCTGTACCAGTGAAATCCCTATTTAAAACCACCAAATCGTAATTCTACCCACTGAAATCAACTGAAATCCCATCTTCTCCCAGATTTAGCGATTAGAATCCAACTATTACTGGTTAAGTATTTTACATATCATATCCCCAGTACCCCTATGCTGTTGGCTAAGTATCCATCATTTTCCCATCCGCAGAGCCTCTCTTCACTCGACGACGGAGGCCCCGCCCGTTCGGTGGCGCGCAAGGCCTTTCCGAAGTTCAACAACAAACCATGAAAGAAACTATGGTTCTGAAAAGTTTATCCCTCAAAACCAGAGGTTTATCATGTTCATCATGTTTGTCCACTTGATGAACTGTTTAAGAGTCAGTTTTCAGGTGCATGTTTCATTAAATAGTATAATGAAAAATGCTATATATGCGACCCAAACTGACATATCAAATATATTAAGTCTCTACAATTCTACAGCAACTGTTTTCAAGTCACCTGGTCCTTGAGTATCACTTCGGATCACCATAAAACAGTGGGTGATGAACATTACAATCATAAGGCAACATGATGCATCCAAGCATCGACCACACAAATCCCGTGGCCATTGCGGAAATAGCTCGTGAAAATGATCACCAAGAACACATGGGGTATCTCCAAATCTACGGAGTGATATGACTGGAAACTTGGTTGGAAACTGAGGTGTTTGCCACGGTGTTTGCATTTTTTCCATCAAAACCTCAGGGTTCCAGCAAATTGTAAAACCACTTCTGGGATCGATTTTATGCATCGATTCCTACTCTTGGTGGATTGGTCGTACAGTTCCATCCTATGTTAACCTAGCCCGGCCGCCAAGTTTCAACAGGAATTCATCGAGACTTTGGGACTTAGTTGGTCTTCTGTTGCTCTCTTGGTCAACCTCGAATACTGAAATGTCATTTCAACTCGGCGCAACGAAGACCGGATGAAATGCGAGCCTCTCGCGCAGTGTGCAAACGCCTCGGGCTGCCATTGGCAAACCCCCATCAGAAATCGTGGTGACTTTATGAAATACCAAGAAATATGGTAACCCCTCAAAAGAAAAAAACATTTGTAATAATAATGATAATTGGCAATAATAATAACTAGAATTTGCCACCAAGTCACAACAAATTAGGATGATTCTCGGATTCTCCTGTTTTGCATCCTTTTGTGGGTTGCCGTTCATGTCAACGCCGCATCAACCAGGAGGTCTTTCCTGGAATTTAACCCGTGCAGCTGCCTCCAAGCATGAAGGCCGCGACGAAGACTCACCTCGGCTGTGTAAATGGGTTCCTACAGCTGTGACTGGGGTTGCAACTACCACAAGTTAGAGCTGTGTAGGCAGAGATGTGTGACTATCTCGCGAAATGTTTCCAAATAACAAAAAAATGTAACAATGAAAATGAAAATAGTTGTGGTAGTAGGAGTAGTACTGGGCAGGAGCAGTAGGAGGAGTAGGAAAAATAGGAGTAGTAGGGGTAGTCGTAGGAACAGGAAAATTGGTATTACTAGCCAAAAAAAAGTACAATAGTACAAGTAATCTAGTACTATTAGCAGTCTCGTAGAAATAGTATTGCAAATATCACTAGTATTGCTACTAGTACTAATATTGCTAGTAGTACAAGTAATACAAGTAGTAGTAGGAGTAGCAGCCGGAGTAGCAGGAGCAGTAGCAGTAGTAGCAGTAGCAATAGCAGTAGCAGCAATAGTAGCAGCAGTAATACCAGCAGTAGTAGCAGCAGTAATAGCAGCAGTAGTAGCAGCTAGCAGCAGCAGCGGTAGCAGTACTAGTAGCAGCAGCAGCAGCGGTAGAAGTGGTAGCAGTGGTCGAAGTGTTGTAGTAGCAGTGTTGTAGTAGTATTGTAGTTGTAGTTGTAGTTGTAGTAGCAGTAGTTGTAGTAGTAGTAGCAGTAGTAGTAGTATTAGTAGTAGTAGTAGAAGCAGCAGCAGCAGCAGTAGTAGTAGTAGCAGTAGTAGTAGTAGTAGCAGTAGTAGTAGTAGTAGTCATCGTCGTAGCAGTGGTGGTGGCAGTGGTAGTGGTAGTGGTAGTGGTAGTGGTAGTGGTAGTGGTAGTGGTAGTGGTAGTAGTAGTACTAGTACTAGTACTAGTACTAGTACTAGTACTAGTACTAGCAGTAGTACTAGTAGTAGTACTAGCAGTAGTACTAGTAGTAGTACTAGTAGCAGTAGTACTAGTAGTAGTACTAGTAGTAGTAGTACTAGTAGTAGTACTAGTAGTAGTACTAGTAGTAGTACTAGTAGTAGTACTAGTAATAGTACTAGTAGTAGTACTAGTAGTAGTACTAGTAGTAGTACTAGTAGTAGTACTAGTAGTAGTACTAGTAGTAGTACTAGTAGTAGTACTAGTAGTAGTACTAGTAGTAGTACTAGTAGTAGTACTAGTAGTAGTACTAGTAGTAGTACTAGTAGTAGTACTAGTAGTACTAGTAGTCGTACTAGTAGTAGTCTAGTAGTCGTACTAGTAGTACTAGTACTACTAGTAGTACATACTAGTAGTACTAGTAGTTAGTACTAGTAGTACTAGTAGTAGTACTAGTAGTAGTACTAGTAGTAGTACTAGTAGTAGTACTAGTAGTAGTACTAGTAGTAGTACTAGTAGTAGCACTAGTAGTAGTACTAGTAGTAGTAGTAGTAGTAGTAGTAGTAGTACTAGTAGTAGTACTAGTAGTAGTAGTAGTAGTAGTAGTAGTTGTTGTTGTTGTTGTTGTTGTCGTCGTCGTAGCAATTGTTGTAGTAGCAATTTTAGCAGTAGTAATAGTGGTAGTAATAATAGTAGTAATAGCAATATAGTAATAGCAATATAGTAATAGCAATAATATTAGTAAAACTAGTAATACTAGTAATACTAGCAATACTAGTGATACTAGTAATAAGGTAGTAGCAGTAGAAATAGCACTAATACTAGCGCTAATGCTAGCATTACTGCTAGCCCTAAAGGAGCACTAGTACTAGCACTACGTAGTGCAGCTGTAAACACAGAAACAAATAGACAAGAAATGAACATGTAAATAAGTAAACAGGTAAAAAAGTAAACGAAAAGGATTACCAAGCAAATGACCAAAAATAAAATAGATAAAACCGTAATAATCAAGCTCATCCTAAAAGAATAATCATAGTCATCATCATTATCATCCTCATCATCATCACCATCATCGAAATCAAAACTAGCTGCTACTATTTTACCCCAACCCCATCCTGCAATGGTCTTCGCCTGGTTGGTGGCCACGAAAGTCGGGCTGCTCAGGGGCTGTGCCACCCAGCGCTGGAGACGAAATCTGCGCGGAGGGGGGGGATGCTTCTAGTTGGGAGGTCGATGGCCACGGTGGCTACGGGGAAGGTCAAGGCTGGGGGTGAAACTTTTTCCACTTTTGAAGATGTTGGCGCCAAACCCCACCTTCGACCATAACCCACAAGATCTCTCCTCGTCTACTATCTAAATCAAACATATGTTTTGGAAATTGCATGTCAATGTGACGATTCTCGCCCGCGGTTTGGCTCGGCATGTTTCTTTAGAAGGGCCTGAAAGGCCGCGTACAGCCACAAATGATTATCAAAAATGGTGACTCCTGCTGCTGGGGATACGACCGAAGCTTGTTTTGGTGTTTGTTTGATGATTTTTTGATGATCTTTGATACTTTTTGATCTTTGAAAGTCTTTGTCCCAAAGGTGCATGGCTGAGATCGCTTGGTAAGTCATTGCCCAAACCAATTGGGATGGGATACCCGGCCCAAAAACTTGTCATTTCAGGTGGAGTCGTGGAATCCTGATACAATTTACAAGAAGACATGGCGGTAGTTGGAAATTAGATAAACTGTCAATATGTTCTCAATTTTTCTCCCAGATTCCAACTATCATCATGGATTCAAATGGATTTCAATGGCTTCTTGCTGGATTACAGTAAATCCATAAGTCAAATGGATTACAGTAAATGGATTAACTGCAACAGTCAGTCGCCTGAAGAAAACGAATAAATAGTCACAAAACTGCTACAATGTGGTAAACCGAATGCCATAAACCTACCATTGGGGATAATAATTACCACCCATTTTGATGAGATCAGGGATGGCTTACTAGTGGCGTTACCACATGACTCATGTTTTCTTA